AGGAAACCCAATTGTGCGCTAGTCGTGTGCAGGGTGTGCCCATTGCATTCATCTCAGAGCTTGGAAAAATCTTTCCTTTTGGGGGGAGGGACTACAACTCCCAGAATCCACCCGCCAGCGCTAGATTCTTAAATATCTATCTAAGACTGAAAAAGAGCAAGTGTCCAAATGCTGGGAAAGGATCAAACACATTAAAAGACAGTAAACCAGCCACACTAAAAAAAAAATCATTCAAAGCAATAAAGTAAAGCAATCCATCAAAAAAAAATTACACTCAGGCAGCATTCAGGGAAAGCCTGCCTCAAGAGAAAGGTCTTTTTGCCTGCTTGCAGAAGGAGAGCAAAGATGGGCCAGGCTGGCCTCCAGTGGGAGGGAGTTCCACAGTCTTAAGAGCACCAGATCTGACTCCTTTAAATAAGAATTACAAAGACGGGGCCAGGCAAACTTTTTGAAATAAAAGACAAGAACCCTGTGCCACTGGGGGGGGGGGTTCATTACCAGGAGATATAGGATCAATCGCCCCATCCTAAGGGCCTTATGGGATTCTGCAGGCGTTGGGGAGCAGCTCTGCAATGTTGGACGGAGTTAGAGAACACCCCCTCTCAGGAGCAGTCTATTTCTAAGCAGGGAGAAGGCCAGCAGCCTGAAACAGGAGCAAGCCAGAGTCTTGTCTTTTACCCTCCCAGATGCAGTTTCTGTCCAGGGCAGGCAGCCAGAGGTTGGATTTGGGGTAGGGTGGGGGCTGATCCAGCAGTCAGGGAAACATGTTCAAGCAGGGAAGTGGGTTTCTTTAAAATGTATTTACTCTTTATTTAAAAAAAAATTATTCCGCCTTTCTCCTTAGAAAGAACCAAAGGTGGGTTCTTTTTAAAAAGATTTCCTAAAGAGCAGTGTTTTTTTAAAATTTTAGTATTATTTAAGAGCAAGAAGAAACAAATAAAAGAACACGCTGACTATACCGGGCAGGTCAGTAGACTCGCTGCCGTTTGCGAATTTAACACCGGGGTCTACTCCCAAATCTTCCTTTCTCCCTTATTGAGAGCAAATTTGCCCTGTATCCAGTCAAGAGGCCCTCCTTCGCTTTTTGTTCTGGCCAGGCTCTTGCTGCTATGGAGAACTCAGATCAGATGAGCAAGCAAGAAACCCATTTAAGGATCCTCAGTCCTCTGTTTTCACTCCCCTCCTCTTTTAAGTCAAATACACCCCTTTTGCTTCAGAGAAGAACGGAAAGCGCTAAAGGTAGATTCTTTGCTCTCCCTCTTATTTTTAAATCCTCCCTCTGTTTTGGAAACAACAAGAAGCAAAGCCATGTTGCTCAGAGGAAAGACCCACCCGGGCTCTTTTCCGTCGCCTCGCCCCCACCCTGCTCCCAAGTTCGAGTTCCCATCTGGCTTGGCCTCCGGCTGACATCAAAGTGGGGGATTAAAGTCTGGAAAGTATTTCATCCCCTCTTCACCAGGCTCCCTCTCTCTCCCCTCCCGAGGTCTTCCTCTCCCCTCGTTCTCTCTTTCTGCCCCACCCAACTTCGTGCCACTTCCTGTCCTGTTTGCAACTAATCTGTCAACCGAAGAAACATCTGATCTTTTATTTTTATTTATTTTATTTATTTATTTAATTTATACCCCGCCTATCTGGTCGGTGAGGACCACTCTTTCTCTCTCTTGCCCACAAACACACACACACACACACACACACACACACACACACAGAGAAAGACACAGAAATTCTCTCTCCCTCTGCGCCCATGGGGCACAAGGGGGCTCTAATCCTAGCCTGCTGCTGCCCCCTTGTGGCTAGCTGGGAGAAAACATGCAAAGATGGCTCTTGAAACAGAACATTGGAGGGGGGGGGAACCGCCTGCCATCCCCAGCCACGGTTTTGCAGAGATGTAGTTGGGTATCGATTAAATATCAACAACCTCAGATATGCGGATGATGCCACCCCGATGGCAGAAAGTGAGAAGGAATTAAGGAACCTCTTAATGAGGGTGAAAGAGGAGAGCACAAAAAATTGTCTGAAGCTCAACATCAAAAAAGCTAAGATCATGGGCACTGGTCCCGTCAACTCCTGGGAAACAGAAGGGGAAGATATGGAGGCAGTGACAGATTTTACTTTCTTGGGCTCCATGATCACTGCAGATGGGGACAGCAGCCACGGAATTAAAAGACGCCACAGGGGAGGGGACGCCATCGGCGGTTTTGCACACTTACTTGTTCACAAACTCCAGAGTCTGCACAGCGGTGGCCCGAGCCACCGACTGGATTTCGGACACCCCGTGGGCGCTGTACGAATTGTCGCAGTGGGCGTAGACGCCGGCCAGCTCCGTCAGCCCGTCGTCGATCAACTTCGCCAGCTCGAGAGCGGCCGGGTCGTGGTGCCTCAGGCCGGCTGGAAGGAAGGACAAGAAAAAAAAGGCACAGTTGCGGTGTGTGTGTGTATTGGGAGCATGGCACATGCTTGTCTTGCCACAAGGGATGTCGAAGGCAAAACGAGGCAGTGGGAGATGCCGAGTACGACACAGCACCACCAGACAACAGATGCAGGCGTGACCCCCCTCAGCTACCGCCCAGACTGTTGTGAGGACAGCGTGGGTGCGGATGGAGCCATCCAGAAGCTCCTTGAGGAAAAGCAGGATATAAGGGCCAAGACTGGAGAAATAGACAAACACAACCCTTCTTAGTTCATGCCTAAAGCATGTGCCAACAGGCTTGCAAATGTGTACTTTGTCCTATAACATGGATTTAATGCTAAAATACACATTTGTTGTTGAGTCGTTAAGTCGTGTCGGGCTCTTCATGACCCCACGGACCAGCGCACGCCAGGCCCTCCTGTCTTCAAAACAGACATAGTGACTTATAAAAAGTTATTTTTTTTTCTGGAATGAAAAAGCTACATTTTGTGGCAACACGGGAGAAAGTCGCCTCGCTGGTGCCATGAATACTGTTTTCTAAATGGTTACCTTTTCAGGGTCCCTTACAAACGTTTTGAAGGACTATATCAAGTTCTGCTGGATTCTCTTGTAATTTCTAAAAGCTGTTTCTTTTAAAATGAATCATCATCATCATCATCACGTGTCGTCAAGTCAGTTCTTGAGGGTGACTCTTTCCAAGATTTTCTAGATAGTTCTGGCTTAGGGTGACTCTTTCCAAGATTTTCTAGATAGAGAGAAGTGCTTTACCCCTTCCCTTCCTCTAGGGGCGCTGTGGGACAGTGCAGCTGGCCCAAGGCCACCCAGGCTGGCTGAACTCACACAGATGGGAATCGAACTATCAGCCAGAGACCTCACTTACTGAGCGATCCAACTAGCTTTCTACAAACAAATGAATAAGCGATGTGCAACAAGGTCAGAAATGTAATCTCTTGGTTTTCCAACAAGGTACTGTATTTTTCCGTGTATAAGACTATACTTTTGTCTATAGACTAAAAATTGAGGGTTGTCTTATACACGGAAGATGAGCAGAGAACAAACACAAGTGGAGGGGAAAGCAGGGATCAAAGTGATCCTGCAGCACTTTGATCCCTTTCCCCCTACACTTGTTAAGCCCCACTTAGATTTCTTAAGTATGGATTAGAAAAGTGGGGGGCGTCTTATACACGGAAAAATACGGTATTTTGTAAGAATGTTTTAAATACCATCATGAACAAAAGATGTTGCAAATCCTTTTCCCAGCTTGCTATCAAATGCATTATTTTATGTTCAAAGATGCACCAAATGTAGACGTCACCTCGGCCATTTTCACAGTCGATCTTCAGCCAGACTTTCCAGCGCTTGCTGTGGCCCAAAGGCCGTCTCTTCAGGAGGGCCAGGGCGTCGGGGCTGTCCACTAACACGTGGAAGGCCTCTAGCCGCTCAGCGAGGGTGGTGCACTCTTCCACCTTGTCAAAAGGTAGCGGGTAAGCGTACAGGATGTCGTCAAAGCCGCCGTCGGCAAAAAAACGGGCCTCGGCCAAGGTGGACACCACGATCCCCCGGCGTGTGCCTCCGGTCATGAGGTCCCCACCTTCCCTGTACAAAAGAGGAGTCAAGGAGAACGGTTAGGAATCATAAGTTTGCACCAGTTGTGACCTATGGGTTCTCCAGTCAAAATGAGTGCAACCACAAGACCCAGTGAAAGCATTTGGTATCTGTTGCTATGTCTCCCTTTGCATTTAATTTGCAATTTGCGCCTCCTGGTGTTGGTTCTGCACAACTCTTCTGCCCTTTCCTTCAATTTTATCGACTACTGCGTTTTTATCTATGCTGTAAATGGCCAATGCATTCATGGGATTGTATATAGTTGTTGTGGGTTTTTCCGGGCTGTTGGTACTGTATATAAATCGAAGCAATGAGCACAAACCCCAGAATGGCTTCGGATGGAGCCACACGTCCAGATGGCAGCTCAACCTGCTACGAATCGGGTCGTGTAAAGAAGACACACTCTGTTAAGAACCAGAACAGTCCACGCAAGATCACGCGTGGTCCAGCGCAAGGGCGCTTGCCAGTCTATGCCAACTTTCAGGTTGGCTCAGTTAGGGAAGAAAAATAAAAAGGGGACGGTACCAACCCATCAAACAAAAGGACAGGAGTCCTGATGAGGCGGTCACTCCTTGTTTGGACTACAGTTCCCAGAATCCTCCACCCAGTCACTGCCCATGCTGCCTGGGGTGGGGGTGGGGGCAGAAATTCTGTGATTCAGCTTACACTGAAAAATAAATTTCTCACCTCTGCCCACCCTCCAGTTTTCTGCAGCTACACAGAAAGTTTGGTGGCCCTTCTTAGGAATACCTTCTGCCTCTCTCTTGCAGTCCTAGTCATGGGTTCAAACAGGCCCCTTGTATTTTTTTAAAAAAGGAAAAAGCAGCTGGGGGAGTGTGTGCATTGGCTGATCCTGAAAGTGTCCCTGATTCCAAACAGAAGATGGCTTCTTCCCATTTGCCCCCTTGCTCCTGGGGAGTGCTCGCTGGACCCCTGGCGCCCATTCAGGCACAGGCTCCCAAGACTGATGCCCTCCTCCTCCCCCCCCCCCAACAGCTGCTTCCTGGCAGAATAAGAACAGCTCGTGTGAGCAGTCTATTCAGGAACCATGGACAGCATGATGTGTAATTTGACCCTAAAAGCAATAAGGAGGGTTGTGCCTGAAGCTCTGAAGAAGTGGTGGCTCAGAAAAATTCCCTTTGCAAGGAGTGGAGGTGGGTGGGTTGAGAAATCCTGTTAGTGGCTCCGACCGCAGTGGTCCTGGGACTTGTTTCTTTAAAAGACCGTCTCACAGGTGCAGATGCACTGTTCTGGGCAGTTTCAACAGAAGGTTAAAACATATCTTAAATAAACAAAACAAGCAGTAAAATGAAAACACCAACATAAAAACCAAAGGTAAACGGAGACCATTTCGCCAGGAATAGCAGGACAGGAGGCGAACGGTCAACCAGGGTCGGAGTGAAAGGCCCCCCTGAAAAGCCATGTCTTGAGTTGCTTCCTAAAAGTCCCCAGGGAGGGCGTCAGGTGTAGCTCCTCCGGGAGCTGGTTCCATAAGGCTGAAGCCACCACGGAGAAGGCCCTGCTTCTTGAGGAAGACTTCCGGGCCTCCCTCGCGGTGGCGATGTGGAGGAGCCGAGCCTGGGAGGATCCGGTGGGTCGGGCAGATGGCACGGTTCCGACTTCAAACCAAACTTCAACAACATACACATTCCAACACCTGTGGACCAAATGCTCATCCTCGTCTTAGAACGAAAGAGCTAGAGGAGTGAAACTGAGCAGGCAGGTAAAACTCCAGCTGAAGGTTAAAACAAAACAAAACAAAACACCGTAAAAGCGGCATGCCCCAAAACCTCACGGAGAGAAGAAAAGGTGGACAATTGTGGTCGCTGCTAAAAAGAGGGTCTGGTGCCACTCACAGGGTCTTGTGGGTTTTCATGTGAGGCCTCAGGGTTATGCCCAGGTCTCGGCAACGCTCCTCCATGCGCTCCGCGTTCCTTTTCGCCACATCGAGGTCCACGGTGAAGGCCGGGCTGGGCAGCTCTTCCACGCGGCGTCCGGCCCACATCTGAGAAGATAGCAGTTGTTAGTAGGTTTATTTTATTGTGTTTTATTACTCGTGTAAGCCGCCCCGAGTAGACTCTGTCTAGAGGGGCGGGGTATAAGTTCAATAAAAGTAAAGTAAAGTAAAAGAAGAGGGGAAAAAATATGGAACCAGGCCAACCGTGGAGGGGAGAGTTGCTCTTGAAGACTCCAAATTGAATTCCTGGCACAATTAAACACTGTGACGGGACTTCCTCGGGACAATGAAATCTTCCTGCAGAGACCTGGACTCCACAACTCCCCCCCCCCCCCAGCTAAGGATGCTCAGAGTCCGACACACCTGGGCAGCCCGTCTTGACAGGAGGAAGAGGAGGGAAAAGATCACGATCTGAGAAATCCTGGGAAGATGACACCAATCGGAGCAGATCATTCTCTACTGGAGGGACCCTAGACAGCTTCCAACGGTGAAGGAGGCAAAGATATGGAAGCGGCTTTGCCACCCAACCAGCAAGCCAAATCCCTGCTCATTGATGGAAACTCAAGGGGAGATGATGGAGCGCTCTTGCGAACATCTCACGTACCTTAAACCTCGATTAGGATTGCTGCAAGCTGAGAGCAACTGGAAAGCATGCAACCCCCAACGATTGTGAGCCCCCACCTTTTGCTTTTGGGTCTGCCCAGCGCTGGAACAAAGCCCCCGCGAACGTCTCACCGAATTTGGTCCCTGGATGAAAGGGGTCCCCCCACGCCCCTTGCTCTAGGGCTTCATGGTTACAACATCAAGCCAGGAACCTGTCTCTTGAGTTGGGCTTTCAAAGCACGAACGGAGGACTCAAGTCATGGGAATGGCTGTCAAGTCATGTTTTTAATTGAAGGTTTTTAATTTTAATTTTAGATTGCCGTGGATCTAGATTGTTTTTGGTTTTAACTGTATTTGTTTTTAGTGTGCTTGTTTTAACTGAATTGTTTTAATGGATGTCGGAAGCCACCCAGAGACACTGGCAGAGGGCGGGTGACATACAAGTCGAAGGGATAAATAAAAATAAATAAATACGTAAGTCAGACTTAAGTCGCACCCCTCACTGGACTCTGACTTGACCTGGGTTCCCCCCACTCACCCTCTTTTTTCTGAGTGGAAAAACTTGTTTTTACTAGGGACTTAGCACTAAAGGCTCAGACATGGACTTGGGGGGATCAAACCTTCCTTCAATGCCAAGCAAAAACTTATTTACTTACTCTGGGGTTTTGAAACCAGTTAATACGACTGATGGTCTTGTGGCCTCTGAAAGACTTACAGCTTTTATATCACATAACCTTTACCCACTTCCTCCGATGCATCCAGAGAGGCTGGGGACAGGGTCTGAAGTCCACCAAAGTTCAGGCTGAATGGAAACTGGTTCGTCCTTAAGATGCCGCAAGAATTTTCAAACAAGGAACCTGTTTAGTCCGCACAAGTATATGCCTATATTAAAAATATATAAAATAAATGAAATAAAAACAAAAGGCATGGTGGCATTGAGTGGGTAGCCATGGAATAGAACAGGCTTCTACAGGCTAGAATGCCTTTGGTTTTTATTTCATTTTATTTCCTCAACAGACAATGTTTTTGTTGCTTCTAACAAGGCCACCTTCCCTCTCCAGAAAATGCTGGTTCATGATTTGATTGCTCGGCCATTTTTATGCCTCTCGGCTCATTTCATGTGGAGTTGGTGTGGTTTCATAGCGCTATGGTATTATGCTGTTGCCTGTTTTTGGTTTTGGTCCGTTTTGCTAAAACCCGAGGATCTTTGGACCATCAGCACAGGATCTGCCTGTGGCAGGATAAACAATAAGTAAAACAAATCAAGCAATAAGGGAGCAACACAAGGTTATACAGAATCATAGAAATACGTTCAACCCTCTGCTCAAGGCAAGAATCCAAATCCAAGCAGATCTGATGGAGGGTCGTCCCATTTTCTCATGAAGGCCTCCAGTGTTGGAGCGCTCACCACCTCCCCTTGAGGTCATCAGTTCCATTGTCATACTGCTCTAACAGTTAAGAAGTTTTTCCTGATATTCAACCGAAATCTGGCTTTCTGCAGCTTGAGCCCATTGTTGCGTGTCCTGCACTTGGGGATGATGGAGAACAGATCCTGCACCTCCTCTGTAGGTCTACCTTTCCAAGTATTTGAAAAGTGCCCTCCTCTCTCCCCTCGGTCTTTGCAAGGCTAAACATGCTCCAGTTCTTTCTGCCTTTCCTCCCAGGGCTTGGTTTCCAGTCCCCTGATCATCATCCTTGTTGACCTCTTCTGAACTTGCTCCAGTTGGTCAGCATCCTTTTTCAATGGTGGTGTCCAGAATTGGAGACAGTCTTCTAGATGAGACCTAACCAGTACTGAATAGAGGGGAACTAGTACCTCGCAGGATTTGGAGACTGCACTTCTGTTAATGCAGCCTAAAATTACATTGGCCTTTGCTGCAACCACATCACACAGTTGGCTCATATTCAGCTTGGGTTTCATGCTTACACCGAAGGAAAAAGAAGGAATTTTGATTAGCTAGCAAAGCAGTACGGCAGACATGCCAGTTTTGTGCACTGTGGTCTAGCTGCCTGCTTAATACATAATAATCATGTGCTGTTGAGGTTTTCCAGGTAGGATACTCAGCCGTGATTCCCCCTTCCCTTCTTCTCCTGCTACTTCTGGGACAGTGCAGTTGGCCCAAGGCCACCCAGACCGGCTCTTCTCCCTGGAGGCAAAGTGGGGATTCGAACCCCTGACCTCTGGTCCGAAGCCAGATGCTCAGACTCACCGAGCGTTGCCAAAAAGGAAGGCCAAAGGAGATGCTGATTTCCACATGTTAGTTTACCTGCTCAAACACAACAGGGAACCAGGAAGAGAGTGATCTTACTTGATTGGGGGAGATGCTGTCCAGGTGCCGGTCACTGGCTCAGGGGCCACATCAGGATCGCTGTTCTCCCCCTTTGCATCGGATGGCCCATTTAGGCACGGCAGTCCTCTGTTTAAGGGGTTTAGTTGCCCATCCTGTTTGCAAAGGGCTGCCCTATCCATGTCTGGTTGAGACAGACCGGATTTGTTGTTTAGTCGTTTAGTCGTGTCTGTCTCTTCGTGACCCCCATGGACCAAAGCACGCCAGGCCCTCCTGTCTTCCACGGCCTCCCGGAGTTGGGTCAAATTCATGTTGGTCACTTCAGTAACCCTGTTCAGCCATCTCGTCCTCTGTTGTCCCCTTCTCCTCCTGCCTTCACACTTTCCCAACATCAGGGTCTTTTCCAGGGAGTCTCCTCTTCTCATGAGATGGCCAAAGGATTGGAGATCCTCAGCTTCAGGATCTGTCCTTCCAGGGAGCACTCAGGGTTGATTTCCTTTAGAATGGATAGGTTTGTTCTCCTTGCAGTCCAGGGGACTCTCAAGAGCCTCCTCCAGCACCACAATTCAAAAGCATCAGTTCTTCAGTGGTCAGCCTTCTTTATGGTCCAGTTGATTTCCCCTAAATGAGGACAGGCGGCTGGCTCCGTCTTACAACTCTCCATCTGTGCATTCGGAGGGGGGAAAAGCCAACATCTTAAGGCAGAAAAGAAACACCTACCTCTTAACACAGTTGCTCTCCTGCCGTTCCAGATCCTCCCGGGCCTCCAGGTCAGAGTCCAGATCTGAAACACAAGAGAGATCACTTGAGGTTTGGCAGGGAGTGAGTTCCTCCGCCTGGGAAGTGGAGCGAAACTTTCCACCTGGGAGTTGGCCAAACCAGCTGGTCTCAACAGGCTGCAGTCAACCGGGTGCTTGGCCTTGCAAAAAGGTCCTGGAATTATAAAGCATGCTAAAAAAAATCCAGATTTTTTCCCCCTGCATCCATGGAAGGAGGGATCTACCGGGAGATTTTGCAATCTGTCCTTTCCTCTGCTTCCTTGGGTGAAAAGTGGGGAGGCCAGCACCAAGAGGGTCCCCCCTTCGGTCCGGCTCAGTGGAGGAGGCCGCAAGGGGAACAAAAAGCCCTTCTTCCAAAACAATCGCCTTCTGCATTTACTGTTTAAGCCGCTCAGCGGCCTGAGAGCAAAAAACGTGCAACTGTGCAAACAACTGCAGCCTTCAAGAAAAGGGTGAAATGGGAGCAAAATCTATTCCACCAACAGACTGAGCCAGCAGGACAGACCTTTGCACCCAGGAACCGGCTGCAAAGCAGGGCAGAGAATCCAGTCATCCAAGATTGGAGCCTTGGAGCTAAAAAGGACCTGGGTGCAAGCGCTTCTATGGCTGCAAAAAAACTTTTAATCAGCAGGAAAAAAAAACTGATTTTTTTTCAGATGCAAAATGCAAACCCGTTGGCACTGGCCAAAGATTTCTCCCTCTCCCTCTGCTTAGAAAAGTTGCCAACTTCCCCGACCAGAGTTGCTCCTGTGGCACACACTGTGAGGCGTGTGGAACTACCCGCCACTAGCAGCCTCCAAGGGTCACACACACCCCCGTCTTTAGCCCACCCACCAAGGCTCCTCCATGCCTTCCCCAAGACGGGCTGCTCCGCGCAGACCGGCCACGAAGGAGTTAAAGGGTCCGTGGGCGGAGCTTTCAGAGCAAAGCGAGCCAGCCTTGGCAATGGAATCTCGCCCGCCCACTCAACGTCCCCGCCCGCTCCCGGGAGGAGAACCACAAAGGCCGTCCTGGTCGGCTAGAGCGAGCGCATGCGCCGGCTATCCCGTTCGTCTCTGCGGTGGCGGACTCGCCCGCGCTCCGTTCTAACCCGACCCGATATCGTCCCCCCCGCCTGCAGCGCCACCTGTGGATCGGAGTGGAATTGCAAGGTCCCGTTCTCCCAGACTCAGGGAAAAATAGGGGGAGGAGGAGAGAGCCCACCGGCCCCGGGTTAATAAAAATAAAAATAAAGGAGGGAGGTTGCTTTTCTACAAGACAGAGAGGGGAAAATTATTTGCACTTGCTTTTGCCATAGGAAAAAAAATTTACTACAGTATTTTGTAATCTCTGGCCCTTGAACAGTGGACAGAGGAAAACCGATTTTATTTCCTGTACTTAACCTGTCTGAAGAGTATCCCCGTATCCCCCTCTTCTCTTTCAGATGATGTAGAGATGGCATCACTTTAAGTAGCCTCCCCCCCCCGCAGATGCTGAAAAACGCGAATTATAACGAACGTTATTTTAACAGCTAACACTATTCATGGTGTGGTGTCTGGCTCCCCCTAATGGCCAGTTGAGATAACATCACCTTTAGAAATATGTTTTTCTAGGATTTTATTTTTAATATTTTCACACGGTGGGTAAGGGAATCAGTGGGTACTGATCCCACGTCTAAAGAAGTCCCACGGTACAATTTAAAATGGGGGGGTTTAACCCTTTACATGACATTTGCAGGCGGAGAAAGGATTACATTTGTAAAATAGGGGAAGGAAACTCCCTGGTACATTGCGCGCTTCCGACCGACAGGGGGCCCGTGAATTAAGGACACCCTAATAAACTTGCTTAAGTCTTGCAAACTTGAGGCTGGGGTTTCCTTGATTAAGTCCTCATCGGTGCAATCGATTTCTTAGGGGATCATGGCATAACAATCCTGAGGTCACACAGATGTGAACCCACTTTTGCCCAATAAACCACAAGAGTCACACTTTGCAGGCTTATCAAGAGGCAGAAATGCAAACCTGGTGTGAAACTGCGTTGTTGCTGGGGCCACGTGAAAATCATGAGGATCAGCATCTCGGATTCATGTTCTTTTACCACGGAGACGCTATGCCTGGAAGAACATGGCATTATCTCCTGCTAGTGAGCATCTGTACATTTGCCGTTTACATGCACTGTGTTCAAGCAGTTATCTAATATACATTTAGAACGCCCACAAGCACCCATCAACCAAGCTCGTTTACTTTGATTATTGCTCAGAAGCACCCTTGTTTGTTAACATAGACTCATAGAACAATGGAGTCGGAAGGGGCTCGTAAGGCCATCAAGTCCAACCCTCTGCTAAGTGGAGGAACCCAAATCGAAGCAGATCTGAAAGATGGCTGTCCAATTTACTCTTGAAAATGACTCCAGTCATGGAGAGTTCACGTACCCTTGAGGTCACTGGTTCCGTTGTCGTACTGCTCTAACAGTTAGGAAATTGTTCCTGATATTCAGCCTAAATCTGGCTTCCTGTCCCATGATCCCATATCCAGCACGGTGGGATGATGGAGAACCGATCCTGCCCCTCCTCTGTAGGATCACTTTTCAAGTCTTTGAAAACTGCTATCTTATCATTCTCTGATGCTTTCCTATTGAGGAATATCACCGTCTGCTTCGCCCCCCCCCGCCCAGGAAACATCTCTTGGGCCAAACAGCCTTCTTCCAAAGAAGGGTTCACAAACCAACCATCACAGAAGTTTATCTGTGTTGCTGAAGGGGAAAGTACAGGCATAAGATTACGTGTTTAATTCATATATCCTGGAAAATAGCAAAAGCCCAGCCACAGAATATGTTCGTGGCCTCTGCTGCCATCTCGTGGATGAAGACCACAAATGTATTTTCTCTCTAAAAAGTTTTTTTGCAAAACCCCTTAAAAAATGGAGTCGATGAATTCTTGGATAAGTCAACAGCAATCGAGTTCTCCTCTTCTCCTGTCCCCCAGCCTCCTGCTTCTTGGATAAATCAACGGCGGTTGAGTCCTCCTCTTCTCCTGTCCCCCAGCCTCCTGCCTAAGGTTGCCTGGTGAGCATCATCCTTTCCCGGAGATTCCAGGACCAAACTCCTTGAAGGTGGCGAGCAGGACTTTTGTGATGTCAAGGGAGGGATGTTACCGAGGTGGGGCCGGCGAACGGTCTGGAGACGGCCTGTCCTGCTGAAAACCAGCGCATTGGGTAACCTGGCAGCCCAGAGCTAGTGGGCTTTCAACGGACAGCCAGGGAGAGAAGAATGTGCCCATCAGCTACAAAGAAAGGGTGGTGGTGGGTGGTTTGTAATTCCTGCTCTGGCTCCCACCCGATGCCGCCTTCCCTGCAGCATACCTGACTCGCTGTCGTCTTCTACTTCGGCGATGCTCATCGTGAGATTCAGACCAAGTCCCCGAGCGAGCCCGACTGGAGACCGAGGACCTGAAAACCATCCGAAATCAAGTCCCTGGAACACTCCCGTTCTGCATGTCCCAAAGATGGACGGCATCGTGCGACGGGTACAAGATTTCCGCGCTATAAAGGCTGCAGCCTCAGGACTTGCCCCCAAATGGTCCCTGATCCTTATACTCAGCTTAGTGGAATTGGTCGCCACAGCGGGTGGTTTCCTGCCTTAGACCTCAAAGACGCCTTCGTTGGCGTTCCCGTTCACGAAGACCGCATGCCCCTCTTTGCTTTCATGTGGAGGGACCATGATTCCGAGGCCCCACCATCTCTGATGTGGGGAAGATGACCACAAGGATTCAAGGACAGTCCTGTGTTGTTTGGCCAGGCCTTGGCCAGGGATTTAAAAGCGTGGCTGCACCCAACCTCCTCATTATTTCTCCATTAAGTTGGAGGCTGTGGAAGACAGGAGGGCCTGGCGTGCTCTGGTCCATGGGGTCACGAAGAGTTGGACATGACTAAGCGACTAAAGAGCAATAAACTTCTGTATGTGGATATCGGACTGTGGGGCACTGACTCAGCCACTATACCAAATCCTTGCCCGTGCAGATGAATCCAGCATGCCAGAACTACCAGAACCTAGGGAAGCATGAAATCCTCCAGCAGCCGTTTCCAGCAGCTTGCATCTGTTCCTCCCGGAGCTCGGTGTCTCAGCTAATTCTACAACGCCAAAGCCCATGCAATAATAATAATAAGTGGACCGCTTCTTGGAGGAAAGGGCGACAGGTTTATTCAGATAAAACAAATGCGCCCTCGGGTGCCCAGCAGGGTGGGGGACCCCGAGATCAACAGAGTTAAAGTTTCTAAAAAAGAAACAAAAGTATGCCCTCGGGTGCTCAGCAGGGTGGGGGACCCCGAGATCAAGAGTTAAAAGTTTCTAAAAAAGAAACAAAAGTATGCAGCAGTTCGCATGCATGGGTTGCCATTTCTCACATCTTAGCAAAGCTTGGTCCTTCAGGACTGCATGCGTGGGTTGCCATTTCTCACATCTTAGCAAAGCAGTTTCTCGTGCGCAGCGGAGCTGATCTCTAAGGAATGTTGAATCTTTCTTACAAAGCACTACTTTTTCCTTTGGCCCTTGCTCCCTCCTTAGTCCCCCTCCCTCTAGAAGCTGCGATAAGCAGGTCACATTCATGCCCAGGAAGGGGTTTCATTTCATAGTAAGAGGGGCGCGTTTGGGGAGGGCAAATACATGGCATAATGGGAAAGGTGGCCTGAATACAGCAACAGATCGGAATGCACGGGGCCAGGAAGATGACCAACCCAGCAAATAGTGATCGTACCTATCCCCATCCGGGGCAAGGTCTCTGGTGACCTCTGGATACCACCGTGGGCAAAGGGCAGCTAATGGTCACTCAGTAGACCTGGCTAGGGCATATGGGGAGGGATCAGAGGCAGGTTACCTCTCTGTTGCCGAGGACCAGCCAAGAGAAATCGTGCTGTCGGTGAGAAAGAGAGAACAAGAACCCATTGGTCCATATCCGTTGCTTTCCTGCAATTAATTCTAATTTTAATTCAGATGCAGAAAGAGGAAAAAGCCAGACAAGATCTGCCTAAACTCCTTTTACAGGTTTATTTAAAGTCACATGAACCGGATACCAACAATTCTGTGGGGCAGGGCCCAGTACAGCCGAAGGCAAGCAGCCTTCGTTCCCAAAGATTTTAAGGCATAAACTTTTCGAATTCAGAAATTCAGATTGTGCTTTTATTTCCTTCTGGAAAGGAGAGCTGCGGACAGACTGCATCGCTGCCTTCAAACATTTTCCTGAGAGTAGACCCTCTTTCTTTCCCCTTCCAACCTTTTCCTGCTGGGGGAATTTGTTTGCATCTCAATGCTACAGAAAAGGGAAAAATTCACCTCGCTTTCCAACCGTATCCATCACGGG